CTCCAGTCCATTATTAGTCTCAAAGTGGGTTCCTCGTCATCGAATTAGCTATAACATTGTCTCTGCACAAAGCAAGAGTGGATCAGGATCCTTGAAGACAAACTAGCTATAACATTGCCTCTGCACAAAGCAAGAGTGGATCAGGATCCTTGAAGACAAACTAGCTATAACATTGCCTCTGCAAGAGTGGATCAGGATCCTTGAAGACAACTAAGATTCATTGATTTTCTTACAACTTGTGTTCAGCTACATCAGAAACGAGTGTTGATGCAGTAAAGCAAGGTTTAGATGAAACTTTTATCTAAGATTCATTGATTTTCTTAAAACTTATGTTCAGCTACATCAAAAACGAGTGTTGATGCAGTAAAGCAAGGTTTAGATGAAACTTTTCTTGTCTGATCAAACAGAACAATATTTACTATGGTTCTGTACTGATGTAGTAATGTACATGTTGTAATAAACTGTAAAGTTTTCAGCACCAATGAGACCTTTATGATAGTAAGTCGAGCTGAAGATGAAGAAAAATTAAAAAGTCAAGAAAATTTGATAACTGGAAATATGAAGCCTGTAATCAATCAACATACTTCAACAACAACATTTTTTGAAGATGTGTGTTTTAAGTATATTATTTTCTTGATAATGAATGCTTATTTTCAAAACTAGAAATTAACTTAGTTTATATAACAAATTTAACATACCATTCTAAGTAGATGTATGTATGGTGTTTACATGTTTTAACTGGCTTAGATTTAGTCCACGCAAGTTAAAAGAATTATAAATGTTTTATTGGGTTTTAGACAATACTGTCCTGCAGTTCAATGGGAATGGACCATACCTTTTTTGAGCATAATAATATACTTTGCAATATACACATCATTTATAGCAATAGTTTGAGGTAAACAGCCTCCAGAATTTGACTTAGCCAGGCAGTTCCCAGGCAAATGCAATTTAAAATCACTCTAAATATTGGAACATCATCTCAGATAAACCCTACAATTTTAGTACACCTGGAGCTTTTTCACCACACTATTTTACCACATATGTACCTACATTTGCTGACAAGTTAAAGCAGGCATCAACAAATCCCAGGCACCAGGTCGTCATGGTGACTAAAAATGACATCATGGCACTTAGTATTTTCTCCCATTTTAATCGTGCATAGGGCTGTGCTAAACAGAACTCGACTCTCTAACAGTTCTGGACTCTTTGAAGTCCAAAACTATTTTCACATTTTTTGAGTCTTAAATCAAGCTTTGTTTCTAGGATTTTAATGGTGTGGTTGCACAATACGTTACTAATTTCACACCATTTTGTTTTTTTTCTTTCTCTCAATTCAACCAATCAATGCACATGTTTACACTCAGACAGGACAGAAGGCAGTAGTTAGCCAGGCAATACTATCAAGCGGTTGTTAAAATCATGTGATCATTAGCATGCATTTGTTGCTGTGAAAGTAAATAAATATATATATAGCCCCCATTTCTCGGTATAAACAGCAGTTAAGTTAGGTTAGGCACACCTGGCTCTTAACATTTTGGGCTGGCTCACAGATATGAAAATATTTGTCAAGGCCCACGTTAAACAGTTCAAACTGTGTTTAACACCATTCCTAATACAAAGAGAGGCCTAACAACAAAACATGACATCCCCTTCAAGAGCTGGGTAAGTAGTAGTATTTGATAATCGATTACTTGACAGCCCTACTAACCAATTACTTTCAATTAATCAATTAGTACAATGTTCTTCAAACCATGGTATGCATGAGTAAAATAAAAATTGGTGGCAGATACCTTTCCTCTGGTCAGTAGTTCAAAAAAAGACAGAAGTTAGCAGCAAGTGTTGCCATAACTGCCTTCGTTTTAGTAAGCAGTTCAAAATTAGTGACAGTGGAAAATAGTCTTAGTAGTTTTGCCAAAACAAACACAGGACAATCAAGTTTAATAGCAATGGGATTGAACTCAAACCCTCGAATCATGACTCACCCACCCAAAAAAATTACCGCCAGCTGCACAAAATTGAAGTAAAAAAAACAATCTAAAAGGCTAAGATTGAGGAGAGCATAGACATCCAATTATGTAGCTTTCTGCTTAACAACCATCAAAAATAATAGTAACATTTTGATTAACTGATTGTTGGAATAATCAGAAACACTAACTTTGTTTAATCAATTGAATCATGATTTTAATTAAACAGTTAGTTTACATGACATTAATCCATGTAATGACTGCTCATATGTAATTTATCATATCAATCAATCAATTAAATCACCCAGCTCTACCCCATTCTCAGGCATGCTATCCAAAATCTCTTGGTAGTACAGTAATTAAATGCACGTTAGTTGAACTCACAAAGCATATGAACAGCATTTTTTTTTTATTTCAGGTAAGCAGGTTATTATGTTAATTAACTAATCAATTCATTTTCTATCTGATACTTATAGAAAGTCAGAAGTCATTCATTACCTTCTTTTAGTATTCCTTTACTTACCTTCTATATCAAAAGCCTGTGAACTTGTTTTTGGTTTTAATATGTATATCAGCAACTGGTTATCTTCATTTAAGTACATTCTTGTTTTTCTGGAGAAAGCCTACAAGTAAAACACTTTATTTCATAAACTTTCTATTGAAGGGTATCCTAATGAACAAATAATCTACAGCATAATAGCGATACATAAATCTAAAAGTTTAGGAACAGAACCTTTCATGAAGAGAAAAACATTTAATAAAACAAATTTGTAATGATAATCTGTGACAAATATATATATGTGTGTGTGTATATATATATATATATATACCCAGAAGAAACAACTAAAGATCGTCATTAAATAAGGTTTCCTAATCTATAAATATATATAGTTTATCTGTATCCTTTTAATCAGCTAAATTCATGTGAATAAAAAAGCATATCAAATTTACTTGGATTTATATTATTTTTGGAAAAAAAGTATTTCAAATTGGAAATAGGAAATATTTTGAGCCTCTTAAAAGCCTACTATATACTAAAAAAAAAACATATGTTAACTGGTAATCAATCTATTACCAATAAGACCAACTAATCAGAATTATCAACAGCAACAAAAATTCTTAAAGTTAAACACTGATTCTTCATTTACCAAAATATTGTAAAAAACGGCACTGACATCACAAAAGCACTTATGTCTGCAGACAATCCTAACTTTAATGATTTTTTTCATACTTCAATATCCTGTAAGTCAAAGAAAATATGTTATACTGTTACTAAAATTAGTAATCAGTGTCACTAAGTTTGTCCAAAGTTTCTTTATCTGCTTCAGAACTATAAATTTTTCCATGTGCTTTGCAAGTAAGTTGTATACAATCTTGATCAGTTATGAAGTTACCATTATTGAGTTACTACTGCTCATATCCTTCAGAAAGGCCAAAAATAAATGAGCTAATATTTTCCCTGACAGACTAAATGTGAATTTTCAAGGAATGACCAAGTATAACCTAAAAAATTGGCACTTAGATCTCAAAAGTTAAACATGGATCCCAGATATCAAAATTTAGAAGTTCCAGAATGTATACATCAACTTAAATGGTGTATGTGGAACCCATAATGCCAACAAATGCCTGTATACGTTTCTAAACTGAGCTCTGGAGAATGTTCCACATTTTGTTACCAAAGTATCTCCCAACTCTTCCATTGCATCTGGTGAATGTGAAATCCATTTCTAGAGCAGTACCAGTTTTATTTGAAAATAAGGTTTTGAGAATCAGTTGGCTAGTTTATTTTCACAATAGTTTCTTGCTCAATGTAGGCAGTAACATTACATGCAGGAAGAGACAAGCATTTATCTCCACCAAAATTGAATTAGGGCCAACAAAAGACCTGACATTGATTGGCAGAATTATAATTCCAACAGATTGGTAATTCAGTACTGCAGATACCTCATCACATCATTAAAGAGACATCTCTAAACTTGTATTAATTAATCAGATATCCAGCCATCATAAAAGTAAAATTACAACCATGGCACTGCTGCACACAAGTGTCATAATTCCAAATTTGGAAGTGTAGCATGTTACAATTAGAAGGACATTACAAAACAGTTTCATGTTTACAGCTTAGCAAGTTACAGTTTTGCTTTATGAAAATATCAATTTCACCAATGGTTTGCAAATTATAATTAAGCTACTTGCAGGAACATATGACGAAAAGCTTAATGATCCAAAATTTATCTTGCTCAGTGTAAAGTGATGATAAGATGTTGCTTAAATTACTCGTTTCAATTAGAGAACTACGTTCCTAATGCCAGTAATGGCCAAAGGATATTTTTGTTATTTTTATAAAATGCAAGTAATTGAAATATTTGTTTTCGTGTAATTGTAAATTTCTTTTACCTTTTATGAACGTAAAAAGTGAATAACCAATAATTCAACTGATGAAATACTGTATTTATCTTGGGATTGTTTTCTACTTTACTTAATAGTTTATGAATTTAATAAAACAAGTTACACAATCCAAATGTAAATTTTGTTAAGCACACTTTTCAAAACCTAGACATACTTTCAGTACTTGTAGATGTACTGAAAGTGGTGAGAATATATTCTTATAATATATATTCATGCTACGACTATTGTACCGCATCAAATTTGCTAAATATATTTGAAAATTATTAATTATTTTTTAAAATATACTTAGCAAATATGATGCGGTACAGTAGTCGTAGCATGAATAATTAATAAAAGACTACAAGTTTGTTGTTAAAAGATCATAAACTCACCTAAGCGACGTTGCTTACATTTTTCTACTTCTTCTAGTTCTAGATACATATTCGGACCCTAAAAATTAAAATGTAAAGTACATACCACACGTTTAATGTTAAAAAGTAAAAAATACCCAAAATTTGTCACAGTTTCAAGAGTTCTTTCTATTACCCTTTCTTGATATTAAAAGCGATGTTTCGTAAAATAACAGCTGCCTTACGTCAGATTTTACCACGAAACTCTATATATTTCGAAGAAACATAACATTTTATCTAAATCGCCGCTATGCCACTATATTCCGTATTATCCAAATCTCACCCTTTCGATATTAGTGCGCATGCGTGTGACATAGCAATACAAATTAATTATACTTATCACCTGACATTGGTATCAAGCATATTATAGTTTTAACACTATATTTTTATTTAGACTCATAATAACTGTTTTTGTAACAAATGATTTATATAAATAATGTTGTATCTCAGCCGACCTGATGAGCTCTGTATTGGGCAAAACGCATTGTCGGCAAAGGATTCGATTTGTTAGGAATTTCACGCAAAGCTACAGGAGGGCTATCTGCCCTAGTCGTACCTAATTTAGCAATGATAGACTAGAGAGAAAGCAGCTAGTCAACACCACCCACTGCCAACTCTTTGGCTACTCTCTTACCAACGAATAGTGCGATTGACCGTCACATTGTAACGCCCCCATGGCTAAAAAGGCGAGTATGTTCGGCCGTGTGATGGGGATTCAACCCGCGACCCGCATATTGCGAGTCGAGAGCCCTAACCCCCAGACGATGTTAGTCCTCGTCGACGGATATGATTGGATAAATTAAGTAGTGTTAAAAGTATCATGTCTGATGACAAGTATCTATATGTGTAAGAGAGTAATGTGTGCGCGTGCAACTGAACAGTTAGTTATCCAGTGTGATACTGAAATGATTGTAGGTGTTACATCTCTCTTTGTTCGTTTGTTAATTTTCCTGCGTTACAAGTCCTTTCTTAAACAAAACTAGTTTATTCTTCCTCAATACAACTTTGCAATACACTTAATTTCCACAGTTACTTTAACTTAAACACACGCTATAATTCACAACAATTCACTCACTTTACTACAGCGCTTGACTTAATTGTCCGTCTCCATCTCCGCCTGTCAGCAACTATAGTTCCAATCCCTGTATCTGCTATCCTCGGTTCCCACCAACCGTAACTGCTATCCTTGGTTCCCCACTCTCCCTCTCTCTTGTCTCCTTTGTCTAGCGCACTTATATACGATAATAGAACCTGCGTAGCCTCTTCGAGAATCTTCTAGACACTCATCACGTGCTACCAACGTCATGTGACTTCTGCTGTCGTTATGTTAATAGAACTTTCTAAGTTTTTCACGTCGTTTTGTTTGAGTAAAACATTTTTGTGATATTTTGCGTTTTAATGCACAAAGTATATAAAATCTAAAGGCAGTGTAATGTGTTTAAAGTATTTAAAACAGTTATGGGCCTGCCTAAACTACATATTGTTACGTCTCTGGTCGTTAGTTAATTTTCCGTAAAAATTCTTTCCGAAGAAACTTAAGGGATACAAGTCCTTTCTTAATTAAAACTGGTTTATTCTTTCTGAATACAACTTTGAAATTCACTTAATTTCCAAGATCACGCTATAGCTTAGACAAACGCTATAATTCACAACGAACGACACACGCGCTCGACCCAACAGCATGTCTCTATCTCTGTCTGCAGTTCAATTACACTACCTTGTTGCCGTCACTTCTTGGCGGTCTTATATATACAAGAATACCGCATCTAGCAACCTCTCGAGGCTTCAAGAAGGGACATGAATTTTCTAGAAGCGCGTGACGTGTTACTAGGGTCACGTGGCCTCCACTGTCGTAACAATATGTACGAGGTTAGGTGATGAGAGTTTTGAACGAATCTGATGGTGGTGTGTGGCGTCTCAATGACTGCAAGATTAAATATAAGTGGGTTAAACCTATTACACAACACGCGATATCCACCAAACACCTCTAATACAAAAGACACGTTGAACTGAATGATCTAATCAAAATATCTAGCAATATATGTCGGATCTAGTGACGCTTTTAAAACGTGGGCGTTAGGAGCATGTATTAAAATCCAACAAGGTAATAGTACCGTAACTCTAAGTTACATGATGAAATTAACGCAAAAAACATTAACACATAAACATTGCTGTCAGAGATGGGGCTTTGAGGGATGACAAGTTCATTCCCCAAATACTTTTCCCTCGGCAGTGCATATTCACTATTTCCCTGCTCTTGATTTCATTTTTAAATAGTTTAATGATGTTTTTAAAACGTTCCACACAGCACACGCACACGTTACTATAGATATTTGTCGTCAGACATGATACTTTTAACACTACTTGTTTTATTCAATCATATCCACTCCTGAGTGTTGGCGTGTCTTGGTGGTTAGGGCGCAGGTTCGAATCCCCATCACACCAAACATACTCGCCCTTTCAGCCGTGGGGGCGTTACAATGTGTAGTTTATACCCACTACACGTTGGTAAAAGAGTAGCCTAAGAGTTGGCATTGGATGGTGATGACTAACTGCCTTTCACTGATAAATTAGGGATGACTGACGCAGATAGCCCTCATGTAGCTTTGTGCGAAATTCTAAAAAACAGTGAGTTTACTAAGTTATCTACATGAAATGTAAAAGTCTGTTGTACACAAAATACTGGAACGTACAGGAACTGAAGAAATGTTTTTGAACTAATGATGTCAGTGTGACTCTGACTCTGACAAGTCAGAGTGCAAAGTGAAGTACGTGCAAAAAGAAAAAAATCTTTAGTCCATCCTACAGTTTGCATATTACATTTGATTAACTTATAAGGTCTCCGAAATGCATATCTACAGTTTTTGGTCAGTATCCCTGTATATTGTATATGGTATTTACTCTTCTGTACCATGAACTGTCGCTAAGTCAGTAATGTGGAGTAAAATGAAGATAAGAGAACTCTGACATCAAATACATAGTACCATAATGAATGGAACTCCATAAAATGCCGTACCATGTGCACATAAGGTTAAATTACCTTTCTGGTAGAAACAACATTCTATAGTGAGTACTGAACAAAAACTTAGTGATCTAACGTTAAAACCTAAATGATGAAAGAAATAATTTGTTAGTATAACTAAAAAAACTTCTTTATTTTCCGATAAGCAGAGTATACTCTGTCTGTATGGTTCCAATGTTTCATCAGGTTATCCTGGTATCATCATGTACAACAACTAAAATGAAAAACATGCATTGGTTTTGAATGGTTGAGCTTAACATTGGTTAGCTATTTAATCTTGGTTGAGAATAGTGAAAAATAAGGAATTGAACAAAAAAGTAAAATTCAAACACAAATAATGTGTATTATATCTTGTCCATCACAAAATAATAGTGTTTGAAATGATACCTAATATCTATGGTAACTGTATCATACTAATCATGACAGGACTATATGTACTTGGGTGGTGGCTGGCAGAATGAGCCTAGTTGATAAATGTGATTAACTTCAATTGAGGGTCAATGTTAGTAGAAAACAGCAGTAGATTGAATAATGTTTTATTTAACATTCTTGCTTAATATTTTGAGTTCATTCGAGTTTAAAGTACTACTTTTATTGTTAGAATAGGTTATTTTGAACATAGAAGTTCTTATGATCAAGAAGGAGAGTTTAGAAGAGCGAGAGACAGCTGCAGAAAAACATTGTTAAGTCAAGGAGAAGTCCTCTCCCTGATATAGCACTTTACCCATGATTTGAAGGTCCATGACATAAGTCAGCTAGCATCTGTAAACTCTGTAATTTGCTCACATCTGGAGCAAAGCATATTTCTGAGAATCGATTTCGGCAGAAGGGAAGTGTGAATGACTAGGGTAGTTGAAGTGGAATGGAGCCTGGTGAGCTCGAGACCATGTGGGGAAGTTTCTACATAACTCCTGTACTGTTGCCAGAACACCCTTACCCCAACTCTTGTCCAAACCACTCCGTAACTAAAGAAGAAAAGCTGGACATGCTGTTGATGGATGATCTTCCTCAATTAGAGTTGTTTTCTTCGTAGGTGAGATAAAATGCACCAAGTGAAGGCTGTGAACCATGATGTTATTTACCTTTCACAACTGAAAGGGTTCATGTAATCTCAATGGCTGCTCATGGTAACTGGTTTCATGCAGGGCTATATGGCAAGCCACCCCGAGTAGTTCATTATACTGAATCAGGAAACGCCTACCATCCTGGGTGTTGGAGTTCCTATAAGCAGCTTCCATCCAGAGCTGATAACATCAGTGGGACCTTGTGAGAGAGGGGCTTTGGCTAGCTACACAGGCCTCTGTGAGTGAGACCAAACAGATCGCATACCCGATATGGAAAGGGATGGTAAAGAGGACCTAGACCTGTTCCTAAAGCATTTCAGGCAGGTCACTGCCTAGAATGGGTGGACTAGGGAATAGACTGTTCAACATCTGGTCTTTAGCTCAAACAGTCTGTTCTTGACATTATTGAACACATGGATGAGGAGCAGCAGAATGACTGAAAGACAGTTGTATATAAGCTACATCACTGATTCAACCTCAGAAGAGGATCAGCACTGAACAACTTGCCATATATGTAGGATGAAGTGCACCAATTGAACAAATAGGTATACCCAGCAATGCCATCTGCTGATCAGGAAGATATCCTGGTTGATAAGTTTATTGAAGGAATCCTAAATGCGCTTATGTGACAGCACTATGGAGTAAGGGACATCCTCTCCTTCATGGAAGCAGTGCCCATCGTGACACACTTTGAAGTGGTAACTTCAAGCATGTCAGTGACTAGGAAGAAGCCTGCATCAGCAGCAGATATAGTGGCAATTACGCCAATTGGTGATACTACCCAGGTATATTACTGCATCAGGATAGACCTAACTTGGCACTGTAATGTAACCACACTGGTTTGCAAGGAGTGGGCAATGAACTGCACGAGTGTATGTAGCAGTGAGAATAATAGTACCTCTATCAACACAAGTGGTGTTTCGTATTTTAATACGGATGAAGTCTAATGTGTCAGTGCTATGTAGCATGGTCATAGATGCCATGCATGCAATGCATTATTTCCTATTCACAAAACAGGCAGCATTGGCTTATATGCCCAGCAAGAAGTAAATTATTGGTGTTGTTTTGCAACTGAACAGTTAGTTATCCAGTTGGATGCTGAAATGATTGTAGGGAAATTAAGCAAAGTAGAAGTAATCAATGCTAGTGGTACTAGTGTTAGATA